ACTAGAATTGTTAAACAAACTCCAAACAATGAGAGATGAGAATTGCATGTATTGTAATGAAAGTGGCAATCAAACTAGGAACAATCTATCAGCCTACTTGATTACAATATACTTGATTACTACTTAAAGTCTATAACCTATTGTATTTCAAGTGTGTGAACCGAAAGATAAAGCCGATAATTTATAAGAGTATTGTATTATAGTTGATTACTTTTTTGTTGTGTGTTTTTCTTCTTGTGGTTGCAATTTATATTTATAGCCCTTCTAATCTCCTACATTCTTCTATGTTGGGCATGTTTTTAAACTATAATAACTTCTCTCCTTGGACCGTAATGCTCCATGTCCGCAACGTTTCACTTTCTCTAGCATTCTCACTCGTCCATTGTAACATGTCACGTCCTTTTTATTTCTAGTTCTAGTTACTTAATTTCGCTAACCCAATGTTACACATTGAGAATTTATCTTCCCATATCTTTTTATCCTTGTTGCCATTTATCAAGAGTTATATTAAGTCTTTTTATCTCGCATAAATTCTTTTAAGCCTTTTTTCCTCGTGTGGGCTTGTCTAAATTTTATCTAATGACTTAGGCTTTAGGTATAATAATAGCTTTTAATATTTTGTGATGAAGCATCATTGGTCCTTATCAAATTTATTTAGGCTAACGTGTTCTAATTAAATTTAGGTATAATATGCGAGAATTTTGAAAGAAAAATAGACATCAAAGATATAGTAGAAGAAAATCAACCGGACATCGACTTACTATGTAGGAAAAATAATGCAGCCATAAATATGGATAAAACAATAACATAAACATGGATGCATTTTGTGAAAAGGTAAGACAATACTACTCGGATTAAGTGACAATGATTGTAGAACCAAAACTCCAAAATAAACATGACATTGAAAGGAATGGGACATGCTAAAAACTTACATAATGTCGAAGAGGGTCTATCGCGAACTAAGAAGAAAAGTTCTCTTTCGAAACAAGTTGAATGTGATGACTCTAATTTGGCAATGTTAGATGGAGGATCTTGTATTATGTGTGAATGGTTTCAAAACAAGCACAACAAGACTTAGGTTAGACGAGTTTAATCTAAGGACTACAATGAAGAGAGAAGTTGGATTATATGGGTAGAAAATCCGATTGGACATCCACAAGATTGCGAGAAAAGATGGATCAAAACTCGAGTTTGAGTTTTCATTAACCTTAAGCATTTAACATCAAAGTGTGGCCCATTCCAATTTCACCATGCTCATTGGACCAAATTTCCTAGTTAATTAAGTGGATTGAATTTTATGTCTTATACTTCTTTTTGTTTTTGTGTTTTTTTTTTTAGTTACTTTTCCTTATGTAATTTAGGTTATCTTGTTTGATTTGGATTGCATTTTTTATCTAGGTTTCTTTTTTCGACTTAGGTTACCTACTTTCATTATTAGTAGTAGTTTATTTATTTAGGGATTTATTTAACATAATGAGTCATTCGTATGTGGGATTTACTTATAGAGTCCATATTGTGTAAGATATAATTAAATAGTCCTAATTGAGTATGGAATGGACTTACGTGGCCAAATATAATAAGGACTTGTTATCCTCGATGAGAGAATAAGGACATTATAAATAAGATCTTTATGCTATACGTACACACAACTTTGATATTATTGATTAATAAAGCTCTTGGGAGATTTCTCTCAATTTTACATATCTTTGTACTTTGTTTAGGATGACTTTAGTATCCTTGAACTTGATCAATCAAGGTAGTAATATCAATTAATTAAAACTAACTAAGGATGTAGTGGAGTTTTAATTATCACCAAGATCATCTAAAGTTAAATCACTTACATAGATTATAGTGGGGTTTCAAATATTCTTTGCCATAATCAATCAAAGCTAGAGTTTCCATAACTTTGGAAGTTTCTACCTAATCAAACCAAGGCTGCAATTTTTCGCTACGTCCATATTTTTAAAGAGGGAGGTTTTTGCTTCCTTGTAAATTGATGGAACCAATTCGATAGCAACTGAAAAAAAAATTAGGAGATTCGGCTTGCAATTGATATTTATAGCCCTTCTAATCTTTTGCATTCTTTTATATTGGGCATATTTTTAAACTACAATAACTTCTCTCCTTGAACTCGTAATACTCCATGTCCGCAATGTTTTACTTTCTCTAGCATTCCCATTCGTCTATTGTAACATGTCACGTCCCTTTACTTCTAGTTACTTAATTTTGTTAACCCACTATTACATATTGAGAATTTATCTTCCCATATCTTTTTATCTATGTTGCCATTTATTAAGAGTTATATTAAGTCTTTTTATCTACATAAATTCTTTTTTAGCCTTTTTTCCTCATATAGGCTTGTCTAAATTTTATATAATGAATTGGGCTTTAGGTATAATAATAGCTTTTAATGTTTTATGACTGAATCATCATTGGTCCCTACCCAATTTAATTAGGCTAATAGGTTCTAATTAAATTTGGGTATAATAGGCAGGAATTTTGAAAGAAAAATAGACATTACATATGTTGTAAAAGAAAATCAACCGGACATCGACTTGCTATGTAGGAAAACTAGTGCAACCATAAATATGGATAAAACAATAACATAAACATTGATGCATTTTGTGAAAAGTCAAACAATACTACTAGATTAAGTGATAGTGATTCTAGAACCAAAACTCCAAAATAAACGTGACATTGAAATAAATGGGACATGTTAAAAACTTACATAACGTCGAAGAGGGTCCATTGCTAGCTAAGAAGAAAAGTTCTCTTTCGAAACTAGTTCAACATGATGACTCTAATTTAGCAAGGTTGGATGGAGGATCTTGTATTATGTGTGAATGGTTTCAAAACAAGCACAATAAGACATAGGTCAAACGAGTTTAACCTAAGGATTACAATAAGGAGAGAGGGTGCATTATATGGGCAAAAAATCTGATTGGACATCCACATGATTGCAAAAACGATGGTTCAAAACTCAGCTTTGAGTTTTCATCAACCTTAAGTGCTTGACACCGAAGTGTGGCCCATTCCAATTTGACCATGCTCATAAGACCAAATTTCCTAGTTAATTAAGTGGACTGAATTTTATGTCTTGTATTTCCTTTTGTTTTTTTGTTTTTGTTTTTTTTAGTTACTTTCCTTTATGTAATTTAGGTTATCTTGTTTGATTTGGATTACATTCTTTGATCTAGGTTACTTTTTTCGATTTAGGTTACTTACTTTCATTATTAGTAGTAGTTTATTTATTTAGGGATTTATTTAACATAATGAGTCATTCATATGTGGGATTTACTTATAGAATCTATATTGTATAAGATGGAATTAAATAGTCCTAATTGAGTATGGAATGGACTTACGTGTCTAAATATAACAAGGACTTGTTATCCTTGATGAGCGAATATGGGCATTATAAATACGATCCTTGTGCTATACGGAGAAACAACTTTGATATTGATTAATAAAACTCTTGAGAGATTTCTCTCAATTTTGCGTATCTTTGTACTTTGTTTAGGATGACTTTGGTATCCTTGAACTTGATCAATGAAAGTAGTATTATCGATTAATCAAAACTAACTAAAGACATAGTGAAGTTTTAATTCTCACCAAAATCATCTAAAGTTAAATCACTTGTCTAGATTGTAGTGGTGTTTCAAATAATCTTGCCACAATCAAGAAAAGCTAGAGTTTCCATGACTTAGGAAGTTTCGCCTAATCAAACAAAGGCTAGAATTTTTTGTTACATCCATAATTTTGAAGAGGGAAGTTTTCGCTTCCTTGCAAATTGATGGAACCAATTCGATAGCAATTAAAAAAAAACTTAAGAGATTCGGCTTGCCCTAAATCATCATAAAACCAATGTCATCGGAGAAATAGATGGCGAGGAAAACAATTTCTAAGCCAACAAAGAAAGAAGTCGAAGAGGAATAAGGGTAGATTCGAGAGAAATAACGCTAGAGAATATAATAATGAAGAAGGATATGAATGATGGATCGAGGACGAGGAGAGAATTTGCGAACATGTTTTTGAGATTGAATCCAACCAGGATTGCACTAGGTCGATGGTGGTGGTGGGGTGGGGAGTAGAGGAAGTGGAGTAAGAAGAAGGGAAGGAGTAATTATTTTCTTTGTTGAGTTTTGTAGGAATCTCATCAAGTTTAAAGCAAACCCAAATGAAGAAAAGAAGTAAAAATCTAATGAGGATTTTGTTAAGCAAAAGATTAAGGAAGAGCTAGTGGAGAGGTCGTAGCTTATAGGATTCAAAACAAGATTTACTCTTCATTAGTGTTTGCCTAAGTTTTCTTTTTTCTTCTAAGATTTACTCTTCATTATTGTTTGCATAAGTTCTTTCTTTTTTTTCTCTCCGAAACTATTCTTGTCAATATTTTTGAGGAGGATCACTTTTTATTACATGTCGAATGCAATAGTTATGTTTTGATTGATATTGGACACATTAAGATTTAATCCATTTAGATAACAAAATACTTTCAAATAAAAAAAGTCAAAGATTAAACATCCAAATAGATAAAATAAAATAATAAATACTAAAATTGAATAGGAAAAAAAATTGAACACAAAAATTACAGTTTTTTTTTTTTTTTAAAAAAAAAGTCAAGATATTGAGCCCTTGGTCCTTAAAATTAACCATTCGATAACCCTACTTATATTACAACTTTGCTTCGTGTACAATGTATTCAGAACTTTTCATGTACAACTGTACCCATTAGAACATCAGTATTTACCCCCCGCCAAAAAAAAAAAAAAAAATAGATAACTGTGTCTACATTAAATGGGAATTAGAAAAAGAATGCAGAAAATACAAATTCTAAATTTCTAATTATCCCAGTTAAACCCTATGATCATCAAATTTCTCAAAACTGACTTTCACATGCCCACTGCCACGCTCACACCCACACCAGATTCTAAACCTCGCTAAGACCAGCTTGCACCCTACACGTATCACCATCACAGCCGTTCATATTTTTGAGTTCCCACTGTTTAACCCAAAGTCAACTCTAAATCCAAATCGCTTCCATCGGCTGGTTCATCAAACTTAGCCAGTGAAGCCCCTACAGTCTCCATAGACAAACAATCAGCTTCTCCACTATCGGCCCCCAAACTCGGACGCCGACTCAACACCGAGTCCAGACTCACTGATCTTGATCCACCAAATCCAATCATGAACTCGGAACCTGTCTGCTCCCCCATTTTGGGCTTCCGCTTTGAAGCCGATCGCTTGAATTGGCTTTTAGACTTGACTTTCTTGAGCTGATCAGACGCAGTCGAATCCTCATCCTTGGAGACGTGGCGTATATCACAGACGTCAAGAGCTAACTGATCAGAGGATGCATATTGACTGATCGGTTCGCCTTTAAGAACGGCTTTCACGGCGTCTTCACATTGCTGCCACGACCCGGTCGATAACAACCCGACTGTTCCATAAACCGGATTCACAATCCGCCCACATGCCTCGTATAATAATGACTTAAATATAGCTGCAATAACCATCAGAATTACTAATTAATTACTTCTACGAAATAAAGTGAATTTTTAGTTCGAATTAAATTTCATTAATTAACAAACCATAGTTATTGATGAGGACAACTTACGTAATTTAAAACCAACTACCAAAAATAATACTTGCCCCATTTTTCCATAAAAATAATAATTGGTCAAAATTCGAGAAAGGAATTGATGGTCACCTGGACGGAGATGTTGAGGGCCAGCATTGATGAGGTTCATCAGTCCAGCACGGCCGTAGAATTTAGCAAGGAAGAGGGTGGCATTGGCTTGGGACTCAGGAGTTTTGATCCATTGAAGGCAAGGTTTTATACTACAATCATCAATACAGGCCTTCCGAAGGACTCTACATCCATTACAACTCATCCGCATGGTGTTCTGTTTGGAAGGTAGAAAAAAAGTAAGAAGGAAAATGGGGATCAGAGGGGGACGAGAGAGTGAAGGAAATTTATTGAAATCCGATCAAAGGAGAGGTTGTACTTTGAATAAAGTTTCAACTAGTATGTGATGAAGAACAATAAGAGGATGAAAAGGGTTTCTATATTTATGGGAAGGTGGAGAGGTGCGTTTGGTACAAGTCGGAGGTGGCGCAGTTGTTTCCAAGAAAACAGGCAAATGTTATTAGTGATACGAGGGAAAACAGGATACTGGAAACCTGGTTTTCTAAGTTTCTTACTTGGGAAAACGATTGGGATTTTGGAAAATCCTCTCCTCTCAGTTCTGTTGGCTCCAGCTTTTCTGGGAATTTCTTTTACGGTTTTACCCCTGTTGACCATCTTCTCTTGTGACAATTTAGTTATGTTTTTTTAAAAAAAAAATTAAAAGTCAATTATTTTAAAATTGGCATCATGATTTTTTTTCTTTACTATTAAAAAAATTTTTTCAACGTAAATTTAATGTTTTTATAATTATTTTTAACCATTGATTTACATACACTCTTAATTATTATGTGTATTTAATTTGATTATTTTATCACAAACATAACTTATACATAATGAAATTAAATTCTAACAAACCTTTAAAAAAAATGATACGAAATATTTTTTTTCCAAAAGTATAAATTATCAAAAAATAACTTCACAAAACTTTGAATAACTCCTTAAAAAAAACACAAAAGAAAACCTCGTAAAAGTTATTTATTACGTAAAGTGTTAGGTTTTTTTTTTTCAAACGGAGGGATATTATGAAAAAAAAAGAAAGATATTTAGTAATGTTGAAAAGTAAAAAAATATATTGTAGTATTTTATCTAGTTTCTCCATTTATTGAAAAATTAAATACGAACAATTCATATGAAAAACTCTTGAAAATAAATTTGACTATTGTTGTCTAAAATAAGGAGAGGGGACTGATGCTATTGATGTGACATTTAATGCATTAAAATGATAAACATGAACTTATTGAAAAATATCATTCATTTAAAGTTTCCTTATTTCATTTTTTTTATATATGTTTTTTAATGGAGCAATGCTAAGATTACTTAGAGTCGTTTTATTTCCATTGATGTGGAAGTTTATGATATGCATGCATAAAATCCACAATGATATATCATAATCAGCAATAGACTAAGAAAGGAAAAGCCGATAATGATACAAAAAGGCTTTATTTATTCATTGTTATATAATCATTCTTTTTTCACTTGTAAATACCAAACTCACAATTGTGAGGGAGAAATTTTATGATTGATAACATAAAAAAAAAAAAAAAAAAAAAAAAAACCTCTAAGCTCTTTCTATATCTCTCAAAACTCTCTCAATCACACACCAAACAATATATAAAGCTCAATTCGTTTGGATTTTGACTCCCTCACTTGCCTACCACTCAATTTACTCCTTATTAGCACTATCTCGCTCCTTCTTTTACATATGTTGCTACTTGCATCCATTTCTACTTGGTTGGTTGGTCATTGTTTCTACAAGTCACAAAACTAGTCATTTGTATCTTGATCAATCTATTAATCAATCATTTGATTAATTTTCAAGAACCCTTTTACGTATTTTTTGGCTCTCTACACGTACAATCTTGCCAACAAAAATGTTCGTGTAATCATGTATAGTGAGATGGAGAAAAATAATATTCAAAAATAACCTAATAATGATTATGATAGACTTATCGTGAGTCTCTCATTGTATATCAAATAGGTAGTGAAGAGTGCAATAGGTTAGCTATGCGTCTTCTAACGCACGTAAAATAAATAATAAACATTTGAAGACTTGCTAAGAGCCCTTATAAAAGTAAATTTTTAGAGTGCATTTTTATCTTTAAAAACACCTTTGATAGGATCTCTGTCGCCACCAAATTGTGAATCTCTAAATCAATTTTTCATATTGATAACGTTTGCTTCAAACCGATAACCGGATTAAAAATTATGACCCATCAACTAATAGTGCGAACTCATCCCCTCTCTTTTTGAAGTGTTGGTAGCCCTCGACATTTTTTTAGCGTGCTAATTTACATTAGACCATTATTTTGATTATTTGTATAATTTTGTTAATGTTTATTTGATATTGAATTGAACTCGTCAATCCGATTTTGAGCATGCATTGTGTTTGATATATTAGATTTGAATATTTTAGAATATGTATAAGCTTATATGGTTTTTTATATGATTTGATTACCTTGATGTACCTAGCTATGGAAGGAGTAGCCTTTGAGCTCCATGATACAAGACTTAAGCTAGTAAGAGAGGTAGAGTGCTAACTCATGTGTCGATCAACATACGAAAACCTAGTCATAAGGGGCGTGACTTTTGGGTGTTCACATCCAATGATACGTTATGTTTTCACTCCAAGTGTAATGCAAACCTAAATATATAAGATTTGATTTGATTATGATATATAATTATAATTTCGATACTTGATTTGATTTGAGTATGATATATATACATATATGCTTTGATGACTTGATACACATTGGTTTTGAAGCTTTTAAGATTCAATATTTATGATATGTATTTAGTTTGAAGAAATGAGCATTGTATTTTAGCATTGTATCTTGAGTTAAATTTTAAGTTATCATCCCTAGTTCATTCCCCTCCCTTAGATATATTATATAGTATATATTCAATAAGTTGTTGATTTACTCACCCTCCATAATTTTAGTTTTGTAGGGTTTGTGAGAGTGTCCTTTTAGTTTCCACTCGACTACTTATCTTCGAGTTTGGCACGTTGATCATGCTACTTATTTACTTGTAATCTCTTAGAACCTATGTTTGATTTTGTTATAATTCTTAGAAGCTCGTTATTATAACTTATGGGATTTGTATTAGAATTTGATAATAGAATTACCATTGTCTTGAAGTTATAAAGTAATGACTATTAAATTAGAATATTGTAAATTCAAAAATGATGTTTGGTGTGCTAAAGGTTTGAGGATTTAAGTTTAGATATTTGAGACTTGCTTGAGTCAAGATAGGCCTCACGGTTCCCTAGATTCTCACATTGGTCATGACCTATTTCTAGGGTCGTGACAATTGTCAAAGACAACTCTTTCTTGTTTAGCTTGTCGTGAAATAAAATCTCAAGTGACGATACCTAACATATATATATATATATATATATATATATATATTACCAATAATACTTGAGATTTACTTTATCTTTTTACAATGGGAGTTTATTCATCCACGAGAGGATAATAACTTGATCAATCACCTAATAGTTTAACATAACATAGACCATGTTAATGGAGAAAGAGAAGTGGTGGTTGATTCACTTTCTAAAGTGGTGGTTCAATAGCCAACCCTCTTGTTCTTTTGTTAATTGCTCATCTAGTTGAATGACATTCATTGAAGAATCATTTTTAGTACCACGAACAATAAAGATGAAGTCATTCTTTTTAGAAAGGATAATAGAGTTATTAATCTAACAAGTGCTTTCCACTAAGGTAGAAAAAATGGTCAAGCCAGAGTTGTTAAAATTTATCATGTACTCTTTATACATACTTTGGATACATAGCTTGATAACTTCCTTCTCATTAAAGCCCTCTTAGATGTTCAAGGTATGGTCTTTCAATTGTTTAATCTAGAATTTTGGCATTCTCTTTCCCAAGTTAGACATGTCACCCTCTCATTAGTAAGGACAAACTTCTTAGCAAATAGCTTACACATAATTTTCCATATCCGAATAGAGTTAGAAAGTAGGTTTACATACCAACTCGTATATTTTCTTAGTCAAAGACTTTATAATTTTCTTTAGCTTTAAATCATGATCTAAGCCGAAACACTCAAGGTTTTCACAAACTTCATGAGATGCTCATTGGTGTCTTCTTGTTTTTCATTAGAAACTTTAAATTTATGACTCATATAATCCTTTAGATAAGGTCTCATGGTCATGTAAGTTGGATAGAAAAGTTTGAAATAAAACTCTCTAGTAGATTTTGCCAACTTCAATTCATAAAACTTTTTTAAGTCTTTCTTAGTAATATAGTGGGATTAATCACCGTAAGTAACGAGAATGATAAAGTGGTTGGTGGTTATACACGGTTACACGATGCGTGTTTAGGGGAGAGGATGCCTTTCATGTCATTAATTTGAATAAGTGGTATTAGATCATCTTAGATATTAACATTTGGTGGCATTAAGTTTGAAAGATAATGTTCTTTAAAATCCCTTTGCAAGAAGTAATGGGGTTATGTTGTTAAAGGCTCGAACAAATATAGTGTTGTTATCCTAACGGACTTCAAAAACCTACTACTAATCTTATTGTAACATAAAATGAGTATTTTGAAAAATCTTCATGACTTCGGTCATGGTTTGAAGGCCCTCGATGTGTGATAGTCGTGGTACAAGCCACATCCTAATAGTGCACCCAAGTTCGCCACTATCAATTTAGAGATTTTGAGAATTATTGCCATTTTTAGTATTGAACGTGTTGATATTGTTAGCATTGTTATTGAAACCAACTAGAGTATCATTGTTATTGCTAGCGGTTAAGCCGATTACGAGATTAGTATTTTTTTTAGTGGTCTTAGAAGAATCTATTGTTCTTTCAAAATCATTAACTTCGAGTGGAGTCGTTAAAATGTATAGAGAATTCTTGAGAACCGATCAAAAGACAGCTGACGGATCGATTAATATACGGAGAACTAGTATTGTAACTTATTAAAACAATAACTAACCAACCATGTAGAATATATGCAAGTAGCAAGAGGTGTGGAAGGCGGAGCGGGTAGTGTTAGTAAGCGACGAAGTCAAGTGGTAGACAAATGAGTGAGTCAAAATCCAAACGAATGGAGCTATAAATGTATGGTATAAGAGTTATAGAGTTTAGGGGTTTTTTTTTTTTTTTTTTTTGATCGAAAGTTCTCCTCTTATAATTTTGCGAGGTTGATATTTTATAGTAAAAAAAATGACACTTGACCACTAAGATTTTGTCATGTTATTTAAATGTGGATAATTAGATTTAAATTGAAGAAAGTAGATCCTTTTGGCTCCTTTTAGCTTACTATGTTTCAACTTGGTAATAAATAGTAAACAAAGTAACAATAAAGCCTTCTTTTAACGGATCCTCCTCTCGAATCTACCAAATTAATTTCCATATTGTATCTCAATTGTTAAGGCATTGACACTAATTCTGCTAGAATATGTGTACATCTCCGTACGACTTATGGATTTATGTCGGGCTAAGTCCATCATCGGTTCAATCCATTGTTGTGTAATTTGGATTCATGTCAAAACTAAAAATAAATAAATAAACATGTATTATCACATAATAAAAGTAGCTAAATTACTTATTTAATTTTAGAACAAGTTTTCATATTCTATTTTTTAAAAAAAAAAAAATTGTTTTTGTTTTTTTAAGTAACAAAAAATAAATTGATAAGTGGTTGTTGAAAGTATTTGATTAATTTTTGAAAATAACTACAAAAAGGGAAATCAGAAATATCCCTTGAATTAATAACCGTTGGATGTTTATTAAGCGAATTAAGATTTTACTATTATTTGTATTAGATTAAAAAAAAAAAAAACTGAGAAATTACTGTAGTTTTGGAGCTGGCAAATTCGCAGATACAATACGAATCCAAGGGAGAAAATACCAGAAGAAGCGATCCGTGCAAGGTGGTCCAAAATCTGAAACGGTACGAGATCAACACATGGAAACAGACCAGCATAACGGCACTGACGAGTCGCCACAAAGTGGCGCAAAATTGTATGCATCCCGAAACAAACCCACGCGCTTTTTATCACTGGCCACAATAAGCGAGGGTCCAAGAGGCGAGTGGGACCCATAAAATATCGGTTAGCGTATAAAACGTGCAGGTTATTGCAGTGAATGGTTAGTTGAGTGTTTTAGGAAAAAACAAGAAAAGAAAGACAGCAGCCCACGTTTGGTTTGTCCACTCCTGGTTTTGTGGAATCCGTGCACTGGATTTTGTAGAGGTGTGCAATTGGAAATAATTGTCTGTGGGCGCCATTAGGACTCCAGCCTGTTGTTTTGTATTTTGGGTCAAAAAAGTCTACGCCCTTCCCTCTCATGCTTATCCATATACGGATTGAAGTGGCGTTCCTTGTTTTAATTGTACTTGCTATTTCTCTGCCTATTATTTTACTACTTGTTTTACATTGACATCTCAAATAGGAAAAACAAGAAAAGGAGTTGTGGTATTATTCTCAGCATCCTAATCCTTTATGTCCATAACTTTTAAAACAAGTTATGTATTTACAATAGTTCCATCAGCCCAACCTAACCTATATCATTGTTATTCATGATATAAAATTGAAATTATTTTTTGGGATTCTTTTTATTATTGTTGTTGTTTGAGTATGGGTCCGGCGAAATGCTTAAGGAAAGGATAATAGAATTACAAAAAATAGTCATTGTAAATATATACAATTATCATATTTACATATCACATTTATTCGTACAAAATACAATATTAATTTCAAGATTAACACGAGCATTTCATGATATATGCACATTCATAATATTTACGCATTATGTTTGTCCATGCAAAATACGACGTCAACTTTCGAGATAGACACTAAGTACTTTATCATATATACATATCTTATTTAATAGGTAGCACCTATTAAATGATTTTGTCAACCACAGAGGCACTACTAGAATAATGAGATTTAGGCCATCGCTAAATCCAAGAAAACTGTTGCTAAATTTAATTTGTGACGGTGTTGCGACGATTTTAAACCTTCCATAAAATGCTTGTTGCTAATTTTTTAGCAATAGTTTTTTAAGTTCGTAGCTAATTTAGCGACGAAAAAAACCATTGTCAATTTAATTAATCCATTGTAAAAAAAAGGATGAATTTGTGAGTGTTTTATTTTTTTCTCACTAAGACTCGTCGTAAAATTTCGACAAATTTGCAATGGTTTTTACAAAACCGTCGCAAATTAGCGACAGCTTTAACGACCGATTACAAAAAATGATCACTAAATGCGTTGGCAAATTTTTTTCTTTTCAATTTATTTTTAATATTTACTCGAATTTAATTTTTTTTAAAAAATTAACCTATTGCTATTTAAAGATCTAAAAAAAGCAAAAAAAAAAACAATATTTTTAACTATTACAAAATTTATTATAAATTTTAATAAAATGTAATATATATTAAAATATTAAATTTTGAAAAAAAAGTATAAAGCTTGTTATTATTACAAGAAAAAGAAAACTTAAAAGCTATGAGTGATTAGTAGGGTCGTCACTCGGAGGTTGGGTGGAATAGTCAATCCGAGGGTCGTTGGATAAATTGCCTCACCGCATATTTAGCAACATCTCGTTATATCTATCGCATCATCGAATATTGCTCTCGAATGTACTCTTTTAACTCATTTGTAGTAGCTATAAGCATTGTAACGAGCCCTCAGGTGCTAGATATGTTTTGAATGTTTAGAAGTATGATCATCCAATTTTTTTTTTTTACCTCATTATCGACATGGAATCATAAAGTAGTCGAACTAGAGGCTATATTTACATCGGAGTAATAGTGAGAAGCATATGACCGTAGTCTATATATCTTTTTACTCTTACTATCTCCCCTTCAATAGTCTTCCTAAAAATCTCATTCATGTCGATGTCGATCGATAAAGGACCCTCCGTCCGTCTGGCTAGCAACCTCCTCCTCATTTATTTTATTTTTTCGATGGTCTCTTCCATAAGTGTAAAAAATATAATATTAAATAGCTATATATATATATATATATATATATATATAAGTGACATACGTATACGTATAAATAACATTATAAATTAATAACTTACTCTAAGAACTATTGCTCGCCGATTGATGAATACATACCGATCATCAACTTTTTTACAAAACCGTCGCAAATTAGCGACGGTTTTAACGACCGATTACAAAAAACGATCACTAAATGCGTTGGCAAATTTTTTTCTTTTCAATTTATTTTTAATATTTACTCGAATTTAATTTTTTTTAAAAATTAACCTATTGCTATTTAAAGATCTAAAAAAAAAACAAAAAAAAAACAATATTTTTAACTATTACAAAATTTATTATAAATTTTAATAAAATGTAATATATATTAAAATATTAAATTTTGAAAAAAAGTATAAAGCTTGTTATTATTACAAGAAAAAGAAAACTTAAAAGCTATGAGTGATTAGTAGGGTCGTCACTCGGAGGTTGGGTGGAATAGTCAATCCGAGGGTCGTTGGATAAATTGCCTCACCGCATATTTAGCAACATCTCGTTATATCTATCGCATCATCGAATATTGCTCTCGAATGTACTCTTTTAACTCATTTGTAGTAGCTATAAGCATTGTAACGAGCCCTCAGGTGCTAGATATGTTTTGAATGTTTAGAAGTATGATCATCCAATTTTTTTTTTACCTCATTATCGACATGGAACCATAAAGTAGTCGAACTAGAGGCTATATTTACATCGGAGTAATAGTGAGAAGCATATGACTCGAGTCTATATATCTTTTTCCTCTTACTATCTCCCCTTCAATAGTCTTCCTAAAAATCTCATTCATGTCGATGTCGATCGATAAAGGACTCTCCGTCCGTCAGCTAGCAACCTCCTCCTCATTTATTTTATTTTTTTGATGGTCTCTTCCATAAGTGTAAAAAATATAATATTAAATAGCTATATATATAAGTGACATACGTATACGTATAAATAACATTATAAATTAATAACTTACTCCAAGAACTATTGCTCGTTGATTGATGAATACATACCGATCATCAACTTTTTTCCTTTAAGTCCTTAAAAAGCCTCGTGAGCATCGGGTTCATGATCCATTTCATCACGCTAAAACAAATATACTTAAATGTTTAATTAATTATATTAAAATCATTATAAAACAAACACACACACACACACACACACACACACACACACACATAACATGTAGATTGTATGCTCTATATGGTTGATCGACCCCCCATATGTCTTAATGGACCGACTCCGATGCCATTAGTCTTGCTCACGTGGTTCCGAGTCGCCATCTCATATCGTACAATAAACTCGTGTTTTGCCTATTTTTTATGCTCGTCCATCCCATATGTCCCGTGGGATATATGTTGGCTTGGGGTTTTTCTTAACTCGATAAAGAAAGTCAAAATATCGCTTTCATACTAGACTCGTCATGCTTTCTCAATGTTTTTCTCGATATTCTTCTCCCATATAAATGACTTTTGCAAGAAAGTTAATAATATTCATTAGTATATTTAATTGGATAATATTATTTCTTTATTTAAATATGAAGTCATGTAATAAATTAATTAAACAAAATACTACCTTAAACTCTCGTCGGTAGAAGTCTTTCATTTTTGAACTCAATGTCTTCCCTTCCATCCGGATATGTCAACATATTCATCGAATATCTTAAAGATTCGATGAGTAAAAATATCGAAAGGATACAACCTATGAAAGCAAGCATTAATTTAACTTAAATGAATGCATAATTAAAGTAATAAAGAAAAAAATGTTTCATAAAATTATGCATAAAATGTACTCATTGTGACCAATGATTACAAGGATCGATCGTGAATTCGATAGGTTTCAAAGCCAATATGGAAGAGACATTCTACGACGAGCCTTGTTCAAGAACATAACAGATTGTCCTGTTGGACTAAGGGCACCGATGACGATGAAGGGTAAGATGGACAAGGATGTGGAGGTCAAAAATAAAACGACTCGAGTCGAGACATGTAAAACATCAATGGGTTCGTTAGAGGGGACCAGGAGGTTAGTACAGTGGCATGTCGATGGGGGAGTCATTCGACCAAGAATGGAAGCAGGACTACATCCACGACTATAGTCACTACCAACATCGTTGTCCGAGCCACGACCCTCGGCATATGACATGGGCCACTCGCATGCGAGAACGTCCCCTACCTCGAGGCATTATAACCTACACATTATTATATTAATTAGTTAAAATATTAATACTAACATATAACATTGATATTAACATGAATAATTTCAAATATATATTTTATGAAGAACAAATAAATTACAACATGAACACACACATGTATTTAAATATGACCTTAAAAATTAAAAGTAAACTATATAGGACAACAAAACCATATCGTTAATCATTATTATGGTCATCATTATTAATTTTTCATCTAAGTCTTACTTAACATCTATTTTAAACTTAACTTCATTCTTTACATTAATTTCACTCCCTTCTAAATATATTAACTCTCCAAGTTGGATTAATCAATGAGTGATCTTCGTCATCATCAACTTGGATAATATTATGTTAGCCTTTCATTTCATTTTCTTGAAAGGGTTATATGATTTTTTGGAACATAACGGACGATTCGAGCATATCCACTACCGGCTCGGGTTTTAACTTACATACAACTAACTAATCATACCTAATGCACTTAGATGTAGGATATGTTACATAATACACTCGATGCGCTTATGTTGCTAGGATGAAGGGATAAAATCTATTTGACTTCCTATGTCTATTTACTTATACTAGTCCATAATGATCATGAAATCTTGTATCAATGCCAAGTGTAGTATCATACTAATCACATTTGAACAATACGATTTTCTTAGTTGATAAGGCAAGATACTCAAGTTCTAGTATATCAGTCAACTTATCGTAGTAGTCATTTTTCTCTACATCGTAACTAACTTCTTTTATGCATACTTCATTACACATTATTGCTCTATCCAAACCATAAACTTCGATGTGGAACTTGTATCCATTCACAATGTATCTTGGATATGACTTAGCTATTCGTAATGGCCCCTTTTATAAGATCTTTAA